AAAAAAAAAAAAAAAAAAAAAGGTCAGGTCTGGTCTTGACAGGTCTTATCAGGTCAGGTCTGGTAAGGTTAGGTCTGGTCAGGTCAACTTCCTTGTGGTGGGCCGCCTTGTCGTGGCGAGGGGGCTTTGGGTTCAACTTGGATGCCTTACTAAGAGCCCACCGTACCCCGCGTAGATGGGGTACGTAATATGAATGGTGATAGTTGAATGAGGTGAGGTGGAAGTCCGCTGGCGATTCCCCGGAGACTAACCAAGGGAGGGTAGTTCTCTCCTGACCGGGGTCGGTGGTAAGTCGAGTAACTGGGCCTCTGCCGGGGTAATAAGGGTAACTGTAAGTCCTGGCCTCGGCCAGGCATAGGTCCCGTGAGCCGGCACGCTTACTAGTGGGAAGAACCGCTGCCACCGACTTGATTGGAGCCTATCCGGTGGTCACAGGCGGACGGAAGGCGCACGCGTAGAGGGGCGCCCGGTCTGCGTCCCCTCATACTCGTGCCGCGGCGGGTAAACCGCAGCACCGTCTAGCCCGGGGCCGGTGAAGCGCCCGTCGGTAGGGTGGCAACCGGTAATAGGGGTGACGTTAAACCTCTAGCATAATTTTTGGCGCGGGCCTATCCCGTAACATTTTTAATAGAATCATGCACCCGGCTAGGACTGACCATCCGAAGACCGCCTCTCGGCTGCCGGGTGGATCACTAGGGCTTCTTAACGATGGGGAAGATGCCCCACCGCGGTAGGGCTCCCATGATGGACGAACCGTACTTTGAAATCTTACTAGGAATGGAATCCGCTAATAAACTAAAAAAACCGTCGAAGAAGAGGAGCGAGGTGGGGAACAAGAAGTTGGAGGGGGCGAGGATCGTCCTGGAACGGCTACACAACAACCAAGCTGCAAGCACTCCAAGTTCTGCGCAGAAAGAGGGGGAACAACAAACCCCAAGCACATCGCAGGTGATGCTAGTGAGATCAGAGTCCAGTATATCGCTGTCATCTATTGGCACCACGGACTCAAAAGCCGCAGCGATCGCGAGTATGAAGCGATCGCGGAAGGAGCGAGAGGGGGGTAATTCGGACTTGGAGGTCATGGAAAATGACAACGATGACCCGGATACGAAGAAATGTAAGGGCACGGAATTTTACCAGATCAGGGATCATAGGGGACGATTTAGTATCGACCCAAGGGAAACGAGGAAGCAATTCCTCAAACTAAACTCGCTGAGAGGAGCGTAGAGAGCGGCAATGGATCCCGATTTCCAGCTGCCCTAGAAGAGGGCCAAAAAGTCCCGAGCAATGAAACAGGTGTTCCTAGAAGAATATACAGATCAACCAACGGATGATCTGAACACGGCTATGGATGAAGGAGTCAACCTGATAGAGAAGTTGGCAAACACCGCCAACAACCTAAATGGAACGACTATAAAAGCGCTTTATGAGGCGGCCGCCAAAATAACCGCCGCAACCACTGTGATAAGCGAGAGGCTCCAGGGCACCCAGAACTCAGGGATGCTCGAGGAGATGAGGACAGAGATAAATATCCTTAGGAAGGAACTGGAAGCCCTCAAGAAAAACCTGAGGGCGACCAAAGAAGAGAACAAGAAACTGAGGGCTCAGAGGATCATAGAATACCTCGACCGAGAGAGGAGGAGGCACGCAAGACGCATCGATTCCGATCACGAGTCGGATATGGAAATGGAGGATCCAGGGAAAGGTCCACAGGCGACGGAAATGGACACGGGGTGGGAGGGGCACTAGCGGGCCCTTCGAGTGACCAGGCAACCGGAGAGCCTCTGCCACCGGTGTTCAGGCCCCCGCTCATGGGTGTGGCGTCCAGATATCTGGACGACGGTTCGCTGGGCCCCCCCCCATGAGAACGGGGGGAGGCGACAAGGATGGACACGCGGACCCCAATGACGTAAGGGGTATTATTGTCTCAGTACTCAGGGAGTTAGGCGTAGTCAATAAGGAGACTATAAAAGTACCCAAGACCGGTGGGAAGGGTTCCACAGAGGCAAAAGGTGGTTCTGGTAAGAACCAAAAGAAGCAGAAGTCAGGTGGCCAGTCAGGGGAGAAGAGTGCGGGATGCGTTCCTGCGAGAACACATGCCAATGATCCCCGACCTCGTACCTCGCAATCGCAACCAACGCAGAAGGATAGCGAAGTGTCGAGGAGGGAGGGGGATCAGACCGCGGTAGCCAAAAAGGGCTCCGGGAATAAGGCACCTGCGAAAGGAAACAAGGAGAAGTCGGGTCGGGATAAGGAGGCTCCTCCCCCCCAAAAAAGTACGGACAAGGCCAAGAATGGTATTGGGAAAACGCTTAAGATTGGCAAGCCGCCTAGGATGCCGGCGGTGGTTATAACGGCACCACCGGGGGGCTATGCGGAGGTTATGAAAGAGGCGAGGACCATGATTAATCTCCAAGAACTAGGAATCCAAGAGGTCAGACCCAGAAAAGCGGTCACTGGGGCCATGATCCTAGAAATCCCGGGGGATAAAGAGGTGAGCAAGGCTGATGCTCTCGCAGGAAGGCTTAGCGAGCTGCTGGCCTTCAGAGAAGGAGTTAAGATAACCAGGCCCCACCGAAGAGTAGATCTCCGGATACGGGACCTGGACGATTCGGTCAGTGTGGAGGAGATCGTGGAGGCGATAGCCACGCTAGGAGCTTGCGCCAAGGACCTGGTGAAGATAGGCCACATTAGGCGGACAGCAGGCGGAATGGGACAGGGCACCGCGTGGATACAATGTCCCATACTGGCAGCAAGAAAAATTACGGCGCAGAGAAGGATAAGATCGGATAGCTCTCCTACCGGGTAGACGTTCTACAAAAGCAAAGAGTGCAGTGCTTCAAGTGCCTAGAGGCCGGACACACAAGTGCCAGATGCAACAGCTGAACGGATAGGAGCCAATGTTGCTATCGATGTGGTCAAGCTGGTCATAAATCCAGCGAGTGCGACCGCCCGGCGGAGTGCCCCTTGTGCAAAAAAGCGGGAAGAAAGGCGGACCATAAAATTGGATCCAGGGGGTGCAACGCGAAATCCGGCAGGAAAGGAAGAGGAGAGGAGAGGGGAGCGGCGGGGCGAAACCACCAAGCTCTTCTATCTCGCAGCGCCCCTCTGGGGTACAAAAATTCTCGCCTCCGGAACCGGGGGTAGCAGAGGCCCCGAAGGAGAAGAGGCCACCTCGCATAACATTTACGAATGCTGGCAGGGGTAGCGAAGAGACCCCGATGCAAATAGGTTTAAAGGAAGCTATAGCTGCGCCGCAATGTCCCTAAAACTGGTGCAAGTGAATCTAAACCATACGGCGGCGGCACAAGATTTGCTGCTGCAAGCTATGGCCGAGGAGAAGTGGGATCTGGCAATAATATTGGAACCCTACAGAGTCCCAGAGCATCCCCACTGGGCTGGGGACACGGAGGGGCTGGCGGCGGTAGTTTGGGCGGGGAGCGAGAATTCGCCCCCCATCCAGGTACTGGAACGAAATAGGGGATACGTGGTGGTGAAGTGGGGAAGCACGGTCATAGTGTCGTGCTACGCATCCCCGATTAAGAGTACGGAGGCTTTCGAGAGGTACCACGATGGACTGGAATTGGCGGTGAGAAGAAACATGGGCCCCCCTACGATTGTGGCGAGCGACCTGAACGCCAGAGCAAGAGCCTGGGGATCGGGAATCACAGACGCCAGAGGCGAGTTGCTCCTCGACTGGATGGCAAACCTGGGGCTGTCTGTCATGAATCAGGGCCAGGCGAGCACCTGCGTACGGTGACAGGGGGAGTCTGTCGTCGACGTGACGTTGGCGACCCCTGCCGCATGCCTCCACGGCTTTGCATGCACATACGCACTCGTTTGTCGAAATTTTCCATGACCATTTTGCATAAATGTGGCTGAATTTCGTTGATGCAGCGTTGAATCTCCTCCTTTAATGCACGGGTAGTTGTGGGCTTGTTGACATAGACCTGTGATTTCAAATAACCCCATAAAAAGAAATCTAATGGTGTTAAATCACACGATCTAGGGGGCCAATTCTGATCACCTAAACGAGAGAGTACACGACCTGGAAACGTCTCATGCAGTAACTGAATTGTTTCACGAGCTGTATGGCATGTGGCACCGTCTTGTTGAAACCACATATTGGCCACATCAATATCATCCAATTTCGGCAGAAAGAACTGTGTTATCATGTAGCGATATCGAGCATCAGTAACAGTCACTGCTTGACCAGCCTCATTTTCAAAAAAGTATGGTTCAATGATGCCTCCAGCCCAAAATCCACACCAAACAGTGATACGTTATGGATGCATTTGTTTTTCGACAATCACATGTGGGTTCTCCGTACCCCAAAAGCGGCAATTTTGGCGATTAACAAAGCCATCAAGGTGAAAATGTGCTTCATCGCTTAGGATGATTTTGCTCGAAAAGTCAGCATCCATTTGTTGATGTTCAATAATCCATTCAACGAACTCTCTTCGCTATTTTCACTAACCCTAAACTGTCAGCTGTTAAATTGTTTTTTTTTTGAGTTGCCAACACTTTACTTCACAAATGGCGGCAAATTCAATTCTTGCGTTAATTTTGGGACACCCTTTACAAGAAGAGGTGGGCCAGGACCTGGCCCCGACGGCTCTGGTAAGAGCCATGGTGAGTGGAGAAAGCGCTTGGCGCGCTGTAGCAACGTTTGCCATTAAAGTGATGACCGCGAAAGAAAGGGCGGAAAGAAAGAGAGAGGAGGAGGGAAACAGCCCCTCCAGCTCTCGAACCGCAAGAGTCGGAAAGAGGAGGAGGTGGCGGTGGGGGGCGGAAACTCACCCGCCTAGGCAAAGCCGGGACCATTTGGTCAGGGAGTGGCTCGCGAACCGGTAGGGTTCAAGGAGCTAGGGGGTGGGGAGGGGCAGCGGGGGGCTGCTCTCCCCAGCATCTCCCCCTAAGGTGGCCCGACAGGCAGCGGAGACCCTGTTTGTCGGGGCCGGTCTAGGACGAGAAGGAGTGCGTGAGAGCGCAAAAGCCAATTTGGCTTTCAGACAGCAAGAATAGACACGGGGGGGGGGGGGCGAGATGAAATGTTACCGGCGTACCCTCGCCCCCCTGTCAACACCGTGTCAGGAAGGTCTCCCATGGGGTTTTAGTGGGTATGGGGGTTCGTGATTCTTCACGACCTCGAGTCCCACATACTCCTCACACTTCCCCCCAGGGGCATTACCTAATGAAAAAAAAAAAAAAAAAGGTGAGGTGAGGTCAGGTCAGGTTGGTAAGATCAGATCAGGTCAGGTGAGGTCAGGTCTGGTCAGGTGAGATCAGATCTGGTCAGTTGAGGTCAGGTCAGGTCAGGTCAGGTCAACCAGGTTCAATTCAAAAAAAAGGTCACAATTTTTTTCTAAAGGATATCGATCCGATTTCTCCAAAATCATTATAATCGGACCCAAACAGACCCCATAGGGTGTATGCCAACACAATAAGACCCAATTTGTAAAAAAAGGCACAATTTTTTAAAAAGATATTAACCCTATTTTCCCAAAATATTCATAATCATTCCGAGACAACCCCATAGAATCTACGCCGACCCCGTAAGGCCCAATTCGAAACAAAATGTCCCAACTTTTTTTAGAACATATCGAGACTATTTCCAAAAAACTTTTGAACAACTTTTGGACAACTTATGATCAACTTTTGAACAACATTAGAACAATTTTTTGAACAACTTTTGAACGTTTGAACAATTTTTTGAACAATTTTTGAAATACTTTTGAACTTTTGAACAACTTTTTTGAACAACTTTTGAACAACTTTCGAACATCTTTCAATAATTTTTTTGAACATTTGAACAATTTTTGAACAACTTTTGAATAACTTTAAAACAATTTTTTTGAACTTTTGACCAACTTTTGAACAACTTTTGAACAAATTTGAACTTTTGAACAACTTTGGAACAAATTTTGTCCAACCGTTTAAAAACTTTTGAACAAATTTGAACTTTTGAACAATTTTGAACAACTTTTGAACTTTTGAACTACTTTTGAACAACTTTGGAACAACTTTGGAACAATTTTTTTGAACAACTTTAACTTTTGAACAACTTTTGAAAAAACTTCAACAATTTTTTTGAACAACGTTTGAACAACTTATGAACAATTTTTTTGGACAACTTTAGAACAACTTTTGACACATTTTTTTGAATTATTTTTGAACAATTTTTTTGAACAACTTTTGAACAACTTTTGAACACCTTTCAACAATTTTTTTGAAAAACTATCGAACAACTTTTTAACAACTTTTGAACAACTTTTGAACAACTTGAACAACTTTTGAACAATTTTTTGAACAATTTTGAACAACTTTTCAACAACTTGAACAACTTTTAACCAAGTTTTGAACATATTATGAACAACTTTTGACCAACTTTTGAACACCTTTCAACAATTTTGTTGAACAACTTTTGAACAACTTTTGAATATCTTTTGCACAACTTTTGAACACCGTTTGAACAATTTTTTGAACAGATTTGAACAACTTTTGGACAATTTTTGAACAACTTTTGAACAACCTTTGAACATCTTTTAAACAACATTTGAACAAGTATTGAAGAATTTTTTAACTATTTTTGAACAACTTTTGAACATTTGAACTTTTGAACAATTTTTTTGAACATCTTTTGAGCAACTTTTGAACAACTTTTGAACAACTTTTGAACAACTTTTGAACAAGCTTTGAACAATTTTTTGAACTATTTTTGAACAACTTTTGAACATTTGAACCTTAAAACAATTTTTTTGAACAACTTTTGAACAACTTTCGAATATTTTCATGTACAACTTTTGAACAACTTTCAACAAATTTTTTGAACATCTTTTAAACTTTTGTACAACTTTTGAACAATTTTTTTGAACAACTTTAGAACAACTTTTGATCAATTTTTAAAACAACTTTTGAACAATTTTTAACAACTTTTGACCAACTTTTGAACAACTTTTGAACAAATTTTTAACAACTTTTGAACAACTATCAAATATTTTTTTAACATCTTATGAACAACTTTTGTACAACTTTTGATCAATTTTGTTGAACTTTTGAACAATTCTGGAACACTTTTTTTGAACTTTTGAAAACTTTTGAACAACTTTTGAACAACTTTTTGAGCAACTTTTGAACAACCTTTGAACAATTTATTTGAACAACTTTTGAACAACTTTTGCACAATCCTTTAACAATCTTTGAACAACTCTTGAACAACTTTTGAACAATGTTTTTAAACAATTCTTTAACAACTTTTGTACAATTTTTTTGAACAACTTTTGAACAATTTTTGAACAACTTTTGAATAACTTTTGCACAACTTTTGAACACATTATTTAACAACTTTTGAACACTTTTTTAAACAATTTTTAAACAATTTTTGAGCAACTTCCGAACAACTTTTTTGAACAATTTTTTAAACAACTTTTGAACAATTTTTTTGTACTTTTGTACAGCTTTTGAACACCTTTTGAACAACTTTTGAACACCTTTTGACAAACTTTTGAACTTTTGAATAATTTTGAACAACTTTTAAACAATTATTTAGAACAACTTTCGAACAATTTTTTTGAGCTTTTGAACTACTTTTATACAATTTTTGATCGGACTTTTTTAATCGGACCCAACCAGACCCTATAGGGTCTATGTCAACGAAATAAGGCCTAATTAAAAAAAAAGGCAAAATTTTTTTAAAAAGATCGACCCGATTTCGATAAAATCTTCATAGTAGGGCCCAAACAGACCCCATAAGATCAGTGCCAACGCAATAAAGCCCAATTCGAAGAAAGCCCTAATTTTTTTTAGAAAGATATCGACCCGATTTCGCCAAAATCTTCATAATGGTGCCCAAACAGGCCCCATAGAATCTGCGCAGACCCAATAAGGCCCAATTCGAAAAAAAATATCCCAACTTTTTTTAGAACATATCGACCCGATTTCCAAATAACCTTTCTAATCGGTTCCAAACCGAGCCCGTAAGGTCTATACCAACGCAGTAAGGCCCAATTCGAAAAACAAGGCCCACCTTTTTTTAAAGAGATATCGACCCGATTACGCCAAAATATTCATAATGGGGCCCAAACAGGCCCCATAGAATCTACGCCGACCCCATAAGGCCCAATTCGAAAAGAAAGTACAAATTTTTTTTAAAGCTTGTCGACTCGATCTCCCCAAAATCGTTCTAATCGAACCCATACAAACCCCATAGGATCTATGCCAACGCAATAAGACCGAATTCGAAAAAAAAGTCCAAATTTTTTTTAGAACATTTCGAATCGGTTTCCCCAAAATTATTATAATCGGACCCAAACTGACCCCATAGGGTCTATGCCAACGCAATATGGCTTATTTTGTAAAAAAAGGCCCAATTTTTTTTAAAAACATATTTTTTTAAAACTTGTTCATAAACTTTTTAAAAGTTGTAAAAAAAATGGTTGAAAGTTGTTCAAAAGTTGTTCAAAAAATTGTTCAAAAATTGTTCGTTGTCCAAAAAAGTTGTTAAAAGTTGTTCAAAAGTTGTTCAAAAGTTGTACAAGAATTGTTCAAAAGTTGTAAAAAAAAATTGTTTAAAAGTTGTTCAAAAGTTGTTCAAAAGTCGTTCAAAAGTTGTTCAAAAAAATTGTTCTAATGTTGTTCAAAAGTTGTTCAAAAATTGTTCAAAAGTTGTTCAAATGTTGTTCAAATATCGTTCAAAAGTTGTTCATATAATTTGTTAAAAAATTGTTTAAAAGTTCAAAAGTACAAAAATTGTTCAAAAAT